GGTTGTGTGTGCTTTTAAAGGCAGAAAATGGAGCTACGTTATTGGTGGGAATATGGCAACGAGAAAAACACGAATAAATCAGTGGAATGAAAAACGTTCGTTGATCCCTTTGATATATTGCTATTTAAGCTTTGGTATTATTGCCTGGAGCTGTGCCACCAATACTAAACTAAATTGTCCTCGTATAAAGCAGAATGAACGTCTTCTAAGCATCTTCTTTGCACATGCTAGTGAGAGTGCTAGTCCCTTTTATAAACTGTTAGGAATTTTAAAATCGGATGGTATCTACAAATTCAGAATATGCTGGTTTACACATAACATTAAGAATAGAACTGATAGCATTCCAGATGTCTTCCTTGATGTCCTGACCCCAGCACGCGAAAAATATAATTATAATACAAGATTTCCTGGGAATTTCAATTTTTTTTTATCAACTGAGTATCCACTAACACGGGAAAATCATCATTCGAATTCTCTGGTTCAAAGATCTGGGAAACCGTACCCACCAATCTCAAATATGTGTCGAACAATACCTTTAAGAAAGAATAGAAACGTCAACTTTTGCTTAATCAAACTTGATTATTTCGCTTTACTTTTATTAGTTTACTGCTGATTTATTTTTAGTATAGGCTCCTATTTATATGACCATTACGGTGTCTAACTGAAAAGCTCTTGCTACCTTGGACACCGTGCACATCTCAACCTCATTTTTTATGGCCAAATATTACCTTTATTTTTTTCTCTTTCTCTTATCTTTATTATAAACCCTGTAAATCTCACATCGAATGCAAATATGGCGTCCAACTTGAATTACCATTGTTCTGGACTCACTAATCTCGTCTTCGCGTGGAAACACAAAAGGATTATTATATGAGTGAGAGGCTAGTGAGTCCAGAACTAAAATTGGACGCCATATTTGCATTCAAATGTCTTTGCGAGAAAGTCTGGTAACTAGTTTTTAGCACAAAGTCGAGGCTGAGGGGAATAGGAGTCCTCTCAACAATGCCGGCCCCTTCGCTAATATGAAAGTATCTGAGCATCAAAAGTTTCTAAAGGGAAAAGATGTTCAAATTTCTATTAACGGTAAGCGTAGGATAAGGGTAGTACTACTGGAGAATACAGCAGAAATAGAAGTTCCAAAACTGTAGAGGAATCAACGAAGCGCGACGAGTTAATTAATTCCTAGTGTTTCGTAATCAGTTTGTTGACATTTAATTAGTAATTGACCACGTGATTTACAGCCCATTGCGTAATCGCTTAAGGTTGACCTTCGAGTTAATGTGACATTTTTGCCGTAACACGCGCCCGAGAGCGATTAGTCCTTTTTCTACCTCGCTACCTGAAGTGTTCTGAGAGAATTTTGCTAACCTGTTTCTTGGTACTGGAGTTTTGATTGGATTGCGCCACAGAAGTGAGTAGTGTGTTTGTAATCAGTTGGCATTTTAGTATCATNGGCGAAAAACCTTTTCTTCTGTACATTTTATGGGAACATTGAGATCGTTTTTCTTTGGACGCGACCTCGCGGCCGACCTAATGGCAGAAGGTCAGAGCGCTGCTTTTTCGAATGACTTTTTGTAATTAAGTAACTTAATTGTGCAGAAGAAAAATTGAAATAAATGTGTTTACATGCTCTTTAAACCTTTCCTTCCAGACACCGGGCTAACATACTCTTGAAACTCCTCGTCGGATACCACAACCCGAACATTGCGTTCACAATCAGAAAAGGCTCTCGCGACAAGCTCTCTTTTTTTTCCCAGTTACACTTAACCCTCTTAAACTTAGGTAATCTTTTAGTTCACCTAAGCTTTTCCGGAGGACATTTTCGTAACGATCTTCTGGATTTACACTAGACGGCTCATTAGAAACACGCGTAGCCATGTTTCGAAATACAAACAATTCGTTTAAGAATTGTTTTTAAAAGCTTGAAAACACCTAAAGTACAAAAACCAAAACCAAAATTTTAAGTACGTTGCAATGCTACTACCATAAATCCTAAAATTTAAAACTACACAATATCGATGGCTAAAAAAGATATTCTAATTTCTCAACCGA